ATGTAAGTGCATCCCCTCTAGTTAAATTAGATATCATTAGCAGACCAATTTTATAGCACAATTAATCCACTATTGCATACCTGGAATAAGGGCATTGCCTTTCTAAACAGTTTGGAGGCACAGTCTTCCTGCTAAATTATGGCAGCTGGCTGTTATTTTTAAAAGCATGCTCTGAGGATCATATTCTAAGGATGATGTTATAAGATTTATATAACTCCTCTTTTATTTCACTAATTATAGACAAATTCACATTGAATCTTGGTGTGATTGTTAGGAAAGGTGGACACCTGGGCATTCTAAATCAACAATCCTTTGCTCAGTTCAAGACTTTCAGATTGTGCCTTCTGTAAACCATGTATGGGATTTCTCCAACTTGTGCATTGTATGAACCCAGTTAATTGTGGTTTTTTTTTAAACAAGCAAGACCAACTGATCGCTTAGCCACTCTTTGTATTAAATCACAAATCATTCATTGCAAGACAAATCGCTTGGGTAATAACTTTAAATTTGCAATGCTTTTCAAAGACTGCCACAATCTGACATAATTTTGAAATAGACTATAGTTGGGATTCATGGTCAAAGATAGATCAGAAAGATAAACCCAACCAAGAGGACAAGCAGCAGCTACTGTAGATCAAAACGTTACAAGCAAGTACAGAGCTAAGTAGAAATTTGAGTTACAGGGTGGTAGCGGTGAATAGAGAGGGTCAAAGAAAAAATTAAGTAATGAGAGTAGACAATAATCATAGTACAAAGCAGTAGAATAACCAGTACGGTATCTTTATACTCAAAATAATTTATCAGTTCTTAGATCATTTCAAGATGCACTACAGCGGGGGTTCTCAACCTTGGCAACTTTTAAGACTTGTGGACTTCAACTCCCAGAATTCCTCAGCCAGCAAAGCTGACTGAGGAATTCTGGGAGTTGAAGTCCACAAGTCTTAAAGTTGCCAAGGTTGAGAACCCCTGCACTACAGCAAACCAGATCTCCCCCATCCTCTTTCTGTGTCTTTCAATTTTTTAGTTTCCAGATGTATGATTTGGTAAAATGTTAGAAAAGTCTTCAAGAAGTCTATGGTTCCTGGATTCCCTTCCCTTCCTCCTCCTTCTTCTGATAGGGACCCATTTCATCTCTTCCAGGTTCTCAAGAATTATAGTTAATGGTCTTGAAATCACTTCTACTAGTTCCTTCCTTACATTCAGAAGTAATTTGGCATTGGAGATTTAAATTTATTTAAATTATCGAAGTGTTCTTTTATGCTCTCACCAACCTTGAGCTGTTCCTCTTCCACTACTTGCATAAGGCTATCCAATCAGGAGTTTGTTTCTCTTCTGGGTAAAGACAGACATTAAACATGTGTTAAAACATTTTGCTTTCTTTCCATCATATGTTGCCAGATGACCTCTTCTCCTTTGATTTGCAATAGACCTACAACTTCTTTGTCTTTCTGTAACTTTAGTCTGAATTTGGCCCATATTCCTTTATGCCATTGAGAATTTTTTTAATGAATGTCCTGGTTAGACTGCAAGCACTCAGAACTATGAGGTATGAGCAATTAATGTACTTACCAAACAAGTAGAGAGCCAGGTGGTGCAGTGGCAAAGACATCAAGCTAGAAACCGGGAGACTGTGAATTCTAGTCCTGCCTTGGGCATAAAGCCAGCTGGTTGACCTTGAGGCAATCACTTTCTCTCAGCTATAGAATGGGGGCTATGGCAAACCACTTCTGAAAAATCTAACCAAGAAAACAGCAGGAACTTGCAGGCAGTCTCAGAGAACTGGGCACAATTAAAGAACAACAAGAAAAACAAACCAATAAGTTACATACTACATTAAACTGTGTGAACATTGGCATGGTATATTTGTAACAGTAATGCAATTTCATATGGCTTACTGTAGGAGCAGGAAACTGTGGCACTTCACATGTTGCTGTATGTCCAGTATCCTTACTATTGGGCACACCAGCTGAATGGTTGCGATATATAGCCTGGCATCATATAGAGATCCACAATTTCCCTAATCCAACTATAGGGTTTGGCATGCCCTATAGCTGGGGTCTCCAACCCCCAGTCTGTTGACCGGTACCACGCTGCAGCATGCCCACAACTGGGCCGCACAAACAAGCAAAGCCCCATCCACGGGATCCAGGCAGCACACAAAACCATGCACCCTCCAGTCCACAGAAATGCCTCTCTCCACGTAACTGGTCCCTGGTGCCCAAAAGGTTGGGGACCTCTGCCCTATAGTGTTCTGCCTGAATAAAGTTTTCAGATCATCCCCCCCCCCCAAGTGGAAACATCTCTACCCAAGTCTCAATTCAAAAGAGGGTTCCAAATGCAGACGTAAAACACTGGGCTCCCTTTGAGGATTAGAAAGATTTGTTGCTCGATTCAAAACTAAAGATCCTCAGAGTTAATTCCCTTTTGACTTTTACAGCAAGGGATGATTAAAGACCATCATCAGTGAATCCTGATGTGCCAAGGTATTTAGCATACATGCTTTTACTCCGTAGAGGTGCATAGCAATGAGCAATGTGTTTACTGTGGGCATAAATAATCTTCCTTGTCCCAGATAACTAGAAAAAGAATTGTACCTGAGACCTTAACGTGACTCCCATTTCCTTCCATTCCTGAGTTGATCAAGATAAAAGTGAAAGAAACGCATATAGAATTTTAGCCTTTGGAATGCAATGCCATTAAATGATGTCAGGCATCCTTCTTTCACCCCGGAGTATTTAATGTTAAACTACCAGATGAACTTCACATTTATATCATTGCCACCAGTAGTTCAATCATAATTTATTCTCATATATTTTATACAACCCATAAATCTATCTGTAATGGTTTTAAAATAGTGTTTCAATGGGATTTCTCAGCGGTCTATTGCTGTGAATATCAGCAGTAGCCCGAAAGAATGCTTGCTGAGTGCTATAGATCATTTATGTGCAAGGTGCATCTGGAGGGAAGTGATTGCTATGTTCAGCTTAATCCATGCTCTAACTTCACATATGGCACTGCTGAGAACCACCAGGGAGGGCTAATATCCTGCATGAATAAAGTATGCAATTTAGAATACTCTCTTGGCTTCTCTATTCTACGAAATAATTTTTCGGACTGCAGATAGATAAAGATAGATAAAGTGTAATTGAAAGTATGTGTGAGGAGGAAAGTATTTAAATAATCTAATGTGCAGAGGTTAATTAATCTAAATCAAACTAAATGCCTCTGGAGCAAAAGCCCTGATTCTTGTCCAATGGTTGGTGTTTGGTTTCTTCTAAACCTGGAATTTCCAGTTTGGGATTTTGGTTGATTACCTTCTAAGTCGTATAATTCATGACCATAATAATCTCAATATAAGACACCAATTTTCATGTATTAGTGAGCCATCTGGATATCTGGATGAACCTCATTCCAGGCAGAAATATCTACATATTTCAGGAATATAGTAAGATATAGGATCAGTGTTAAAAGCAGGATTATCTACTGTAAAATTTGATTAGAGGTCTGGTTATACATGCATATGTCCATACATGCTTATATATGTAGTTTTCGGTAATCATCTAAGTATTCTCAAGAGGCTAATTCTCTATGTTTTAAACAGAAAACAGATCAGTCTGCACCCTGGCCATGTTTTTACCAATTTCAAATCTTGATCCTATTCTTGACAATAGCTTTATAAGACAGATACCCTTCTCAGTGATAACAGAATTGAAATAGGAATTGAATAGTTTTATCTTTTGTTTCTTAATTATTAGCAGTGTGTTATTTTCAGTGAACTGTTTGTATACTGATAATTTTTTTCTTTCTTCTAGTTTAATCATAGCTAAAGAAAACCTTGTTCTTGTTAGCATGCTTTACCAAATTCAATTCATTAAGCTTAAGCTTTTCTGAATATTCCTAGAATACTTGTATGCATTCTCTCTCTCTCTCTCTTCTCTCTCTTTCTCTTCTCCCCTCCTTCCTGTGTGTCTGTGTGTGGTGTGTTTATCTCACTCCGTGTTTGTGTATATGTATATTATTTATACTTTTTCTTGCAGCTTTCTCATACTCTTGCTTGTTTTGGCATGCAAACTGTCTAATGAAGTGTGCATGAACCTGTTTGACAGGGAATGTATTGAAATGCCAGCTACCAGCTATTCTGTGTACCAACATTAAGCTGCAATACACTACAAGCCCACTGAATACAGTTGCAGTTAGTTGTGAGTGTAGTAATACCTGAGTTCTGAAAGGTTAATGATATGAGATATGGACCTACTCAAATTTGTTTCTAAAATAATTGCCCACAGTAATAATGAAGAAGAATGGCTATTCCCAGATAGATTATATGTATCATTGTTCCCATGAGAAGTAAAGATAAATAAACATAGAGAGGATAAAAAAAAACAATCTTATTCACTTATTTGATTTCTCAGAGAGGCAGAAACCATTTAAATAAGATAAAGTTGATAAAAATATTAATAAGTAAGCTTAATAACAATTACATATGTAAAAGGGAAGACAATGTAATGTCATGTAATACAGCATCATTGCATCATCATTTAGAAGGCTACTAGATCAGGGGTGTCAAACTCGCAACGTCATGTGACGTGTTGAGACGTATCTTGACTTTTTTTCCATTGCCGCCAATGGGGTGGGTGCAGTTTCACTATAATGCGTCCGGCCCGCAGGCCGGCAGTTTGACACCCCTGTACTAGATCAAAAAAGATTCTAGGCAGTCTAAAGTCTAATGAGAATATACAACCAAGAAATAACAACACATTGACAAAATAGGCAACAAGAAATTTCAAGACACCATCATTAGACAAGCATGATCACAAATAATCCCAGCCTGTTTAAAAAACAATTGCAATTTAAAGCCTTTCAGAAAACTACAGGTGATGCCTACTGTAAAGAATAACAGAATTGGGAGGTACCTTGGAGGTCTTCTGGTTTGATTTCAGAGGCAAAGATGCAGAATTGTCTCTAATATATGAGTAAAGGCTTTGGAAAGAAATAGTAGAATGAAGACGGCTCCATTAAAATCAGAGCCTGCAGTATGGAGAGCAGGTGAGTAGACAGGCTCTTTGATAATTTCTCTCCTGACAAGGAGAGAACTTGAAAATACCCACAATTGCTCCTGACAGCTTTTCCCTGTTAGGAAACTGCAAGATTGAGCACCTTTGAAAAGACACTAAGTTTGCATACTGCCTCTTCTAATGATTTTCAGAAATTGGAACGCTTCAGACTGAGGACAAATAAACTGGAACAGAATTTAAATCTGGAACAGGGTTATCTTCAGTTTCCTGCACATTTTTTTTATTTTTTGCTCCTAATTAAAAATATGCAAACAAAAATGTGGGCTCAAAATATTTCAAAGTATTCAAAATCATTGATGAAGATGCAAAAATCATTGATTCAGAAACATGATAGTAACAAAATTGTGCATGGTAAGTTCAGCTTCAATTAAACCTGTGAAAGTTTTAATTTTTGTTCAACAAACCAAGCCATTCTTGTTTGTAGCAGGAAATTGGTATGTTTTAATGGAACCTATTCAAGCATTTGTAAATAAAAAATATAAACTGTATATAGAAATCTAAATATGATTGGAAGAGTTATAGGGCAGAAAATTGCATTGGAGAAAAAAAAAATTATACGAGATGAAGATTAAAGTTCTAATATACCTACTTGAAAAGATGTTCAGAGAACTTAGTTCTGAATAGATATGCTTTTGTTGTACATTAGTTTAAACATTTTTAAGGCTTTCTAAGTTAAAGTATGGCAAAAATTCTTACTTCTAAATAAACATATATAATATTTCAGTGTAAAAATGAAAACCACTACTTTACACTCCATTTTTGGTAAAAGAGAAAGGAGTATACAGCTTGCATAATTCAAATCCCTTATTTCTTAATCTGTGGAAGAAAATGAATTGAAAGAGCATTTTTTCAGTTGAGAAGAGAGGAAAATGTGATGGGGGTCAGAAAAAAATCAGTAAAATTAAATCCTCCTACTTCACTTCATCATTTGAAAATAGCTGACAACTCAAACCCCAAAGAATAGGTCGATGAGCCAATTAACATTCACCCTCTTTACTTCCTGGACTGACAATAATCCCATCAACCCGACTCTACCTAAAATGAAAATAAAATAATTGATAACATCTTGCTAGCCAGGAAACATGTTTGTTCATCTACATTTATGTACCTGGAGTGACCTGGGTATAAATGA